ACTATGTATGCGAAGAGAAGGCTTAAGGGTGACATGATACCCATCTTCCAAAAATTTGAAGGGCTGTCACAGGGAAGAGGGGATGGGTCAATTTCTTATCCAAAGTACCTGATAGCAGAACAAGAAGCAACAGGTAGAAATTAGTCAGAGAGAGATCCAGCCTGGAACCAAGGAGAAACTTCCTGACAATGATAACAGTTAATCGATGGAACAGTTTGCCTTCCAGAGTGGTGGGAGATCCATTGCTGGTGATTTTCAAGAAAACATCAGACAACCATTTGTCTAGGATGAAATAAGGACTTCTACCTTGGGCTGGAGGTTGGGCTAGAGGACCTCCAAGATCCTTTCTAGTCTTATGATTTTAAGTTTAATAAATTAAACTTATGTAAGCTATCCCCTTACATAAGAACTAGTATTTCATGCATTGAAACTATTGCTATTACAGTTTCTGTAAATGCAAACTTCACTGATGTCAAGAACTATAAACCATGTGCTTTGGCTCTGAATACTTGGCATTGGAGTATTGCTTTGAAACTGGATTATTTTTCAACTTTCAAAAATGTGTTTAAAAATAGGATAGTATTTACAATGTTAATCATTTTTTAAAGACACAAGATTATGGCTATGATGAGAAAACAGTTTTCTACTCCTTTTCTATAATGTATTACTTCTCATTTCACATGGTTGCCTCATATCATAGATTCAAGACAAAAATGCCAAAATCCAGTTTCAACAAGTAGCTGACTCTGTATAATAATTAAGAACCTGAAAGTACAGTAGCTGTTTAAAATAATTCTAACTTGTTCAAATACATTAATACAATTCAACAGGGCCAGACATATTTCATGAGTACTCCACTCCTCACAACAGAATACCTTATGCCACCAGACGTGAAATTTTGGGCTTGGACAACCTTGAACTATGCCGCCTACGGTCTGACCTAAGCACACCTTAGGTGTCTAATAGCAATAGTTTTCTAATAGCAATAGTTAGGCTTATATACCGCTTCATAGGGCTTTCAGCCCTCTCTAAGC